TTTTTTACGGTGAAGTACCACCATCTACAGTCTCTATCATTTGAGTAGCGATTCCGTTGCAACTTTTTTAGCACTAAGACAATTGCATATTATCGAGAATTGAACAGATTTGACCAACGAAATCGTTGTTCGGGAACTACTGTATCCTTTATCAGGGAGTGGAGGGAATTCAACCTTCTAAGAACTCATATTAGGAGAAGATAAATCTCCAGTCTGTGCTTTTTTCGTTGCTCAGTGTTCTGCAAGATTCAGAAGGCTTTGAACAGTTGATAACGGCCGGAGATAGGCTCTTACTATTGCGTATTCCATTGATGTGAAACAAACCCTGCATAGACTAACAGCACCTCAGAAACTAATTCTGTCCACAAGGGCTGGAAGCCAAATTCCTCGTTATCCCCTGAAGTTGACTCCGATGTCATAAGCACGAAACAAGGAAGGAAGCAGGGAGGCACAGTGGTGTAAGCTGCAACTGCACTCGAGATGACGTTGAATGATGCAGTTGACATGACGATGGCGAACGATGATGATGACGGCAATGACATGGTGCTACCGTCGCTAGCTGACCATAGCCACATAACGTCTCCGNATTCCCCCCGGTCAAGATACCTTCCAAGCAGGACGACATTACCATGACAGTGTCCCTTGAAGCTGGCTGGGAACGCCACGACACCTGCCGTCCCCACATTTTATCTATTCCATTCGTACGGTGGCCAACTAAGCTTTACATGACTTTCCGAATTCTGGTGAAATGAAAAAAGCTATTGAAAAAACAACAGTCCTGAGAGTATACCTGTACTAATTCCGATTAAAATCCGAGTACCTGCTAATTCTGAATGGCTTCAACAGTTTACCTGAGTAAATGAAACCTGGTCATATACCAAGGATGGGTCTTTGAAGAGCTTCTCCAACTTTAGACCTTCTTTCGACGTCTGCTCTGTCTAAATATATTTAAACTTTTTTCTGTAGGGAAAACTAATGAAAACGGTATGGAAATATGAGATTGTCTACGAGACATTGAAGACTGAGTTGATCAGCTTCAAACAGCAATAATCTTTGCAGCTTTCAAATAACGTAATTTTTAGTATTTGTTTGAGCCTCACAAGTGGAAGTTTTATTGATAATGACAGTTTTAGAAGATGCCAGAGCTCAAAGGAGGAAAAGGCCGTGGTTCTGCTCCAACGCGGTATTACTTCATGGAATCCAAGACTTCAAGAAATCGCTGGGGACTTAGTAATTGCCCAGAAGTTGGGGAACCATTCTCCAGAGCTCTCATTATCACTGGATGATCCTTGTTGTGTTGCACCCGGAATTCAATGACGTGCGCCCTGCCGTCCCAACGGTACTATCGCCCCTTTTATCAGATATCATATTAGAGAGAAAACCATAAACGAAATCCATCAAATTCGGAGTTGTCCTCGTCCGACGCTAAGAATTTACTGCAGAATCTGCAACCATATCTTGTGGATTTCAATGATATCGTCCGGTCTGATCTTTTTCCTTCAGACTGATAACCGAATTCACTTTAATATTTCACAAAAAATTACTGTATTCTCTACACTTCAACATGAGCTCGCTTTTCCAAAATCTTTAAAAACCATAAGATCATTACTCACCGGTACGATTAGTACAAGAATTCTGTCAGGTTTAATTGGTGCGAATGTACGATGAACCTTTATGGTCAAAGTTTCCTGCTTATCCAATGATGCTAAGGGAGGAGTGATCCTGAATCTAGAGTGTTCAGAAAAATGGCTACTTCACATCGGTTTACCACACACCTGTACAAGTTATTATCTGAGCATTTTACCTTCACTGCGTTAACCGTGTCTGTGTTGTTGTAGATAGTAAGCTGCTGAAATAACCCTGTTGAGGAGATTGGTTACAAAGCTAATTAGACAGCTAAGCGAAAGTTCAGAAGTCTGGGCGGCAGTAATATTGATGGGCAAATCCTTGCGTCGTTGTTCGGACGACTTAAAGGTCGGCCTGGCGTGGGGCGCCCGTGGTCCCGCCGAGAAAGACACAGTATACTGCAGGGAGCTAGAGTTTGCCATGTGGCAATGTTTAGCCACGGACTCTAGCCGCTCTCTTCGTTATGCGACGATTACATCATCCATTGTCGTCGCTGTCATCGTCGCAGGCGCCAGCCCTTCGAGAATGGGATGGCTTGGATGACGCGGAAATGTATTAAGCAGGATCGTACCCAGTCCGTAGGTCGAGTGTTGTTTTGATATTTATGTGTACCTTCCATGCCTTTCCTCATAGTATTATTCATATCGTAATATCCATATTTACTCGTATTTAACCTCATTTCCTTTTTATGCGTTGTTTATCATAAGCAGTACAATTTATAATGTGTGCTCTTCGTACGTGAGGTGAGGTTATATCCATATATTGCAGCCTTCCCGGCTAGCAGGGATGGGTACGTAGGCCATGGTGCTCGGCGGTGGGCTAGCAACTCCCTTAGGGTACTGCGGAGGCAGTACCAGCCCGTAGAAACTCGCAAGGGAGACTGGGGCAGCCCAGACCTACCAAGTCCTGGTGGCAGTTGAATAGGAGCATAGCGAGCGGGCAGAAGACCCCNCCCCTTCACCTAGCTCACGCTGCCAAGGTCGCCCTGCCGAGCAACCACCGATGCGGATTGGCCTCAGCACGACGAACCCGACGGCGCGACACCTTGCAGTGGGCTCCATCGCCCATGTTTACTACACTTGCAACAATAGTTTGTATAGATATTGATTGAATTTTTACAGACTGCAGACGGAAGCAACCGAAGCGCCGTTCCCTTTTGCTTTCTCAAAATGGCTACGTGGTATCTAGTCACCCAGGAACACTTTCTAATAGCCCGTACTATGTACTGCCTTATATAAGTTGAGGTCTGGTGGATATACAGCTTGAACTCACCTCAGTTCCACCATATTTTCTCCAATAAAAGAAGTTTCTGGTCGTTACCACTCCATTACCTTAAAAAACGGGTTCGTCGCTTGTATTATCTTTCAGATTTCACAGACACACTTCCGATCCCCAAGACTTATGGTACTAGTTGATATCAGACCTACTATCATACGAGAGGCTCAGTGGATGCAATATCTCTTGTCCTGTAACTCTTATGATCATCGACTACCATATTTTATCACGTTCTACCACCAAGTGACAGTGTTTACACTTCCTTATAAGAGTGTTTCTCAAACTCGAGTGCCCTTTCCAAAGGGTAGGACACGAATGCGTACACATTATACCAACCAAGAACAAACACGCCCATAGCCTTGCATTTTAGTTCTCAGCGATCTTTCCCAGTCTAGTTGCCCACGAATAGAGGATTCATGCTCATGTTCAATTTGTGTACTTGTCTAGGCCTTACTAGGGGAGGGGGGTTAGGCAAATGAAACTGTTCATTGTTCTCTTGCTCCCCTCATTTCTGAAACTTTCAGAACGGCGGTCGTCGAGCTACTTATGACCGCCAACACCACACAACCAAGTGAATAATATATCTTAACTTTCACATACTTCCTATTACTATTATCGCCGGCAGATCAGCGTTTGCTTTGTCCTCACTGGTCATTAAATCTGAAATGAAAGTATGTGGTGAGAACTTTTAAGAAAAACTTATAGGAAATTCCTAAAAGAAATAGGAAATTCAGTGACTGAAAAATTCTCCTCTTTCCAAACAAAATTGTACCAAATTTGTTGATTGTTCTTTGTATCACTAGACAAAGTCAGAGAAGATGAGAAAGAATTCCATCAGCCTACCCATCTTGTATTTCCATTCTTTCGCGGAGAATTCTGACGAACTCGTCCTCTTTTCATAGTGACCACCAGTTTTCAATGCCTCAATCTTCTCACGAACAGGAGTTTTTGGTACAGTTTTTCGACCTGAGAACAACTGGTTTTATCTCTATTACTTGATATTAATGCGATAAAATCATCCAATCTCACCCAAGAGGGAGGACCAGCAATTGACTGGCCTTCTTCTATGTACTATTCAAGTGGGCCAAAACCAATGTAACAGCTTTAGAAGAGGGGAACCAAAGTAGATAATCTTGGTGCTTCTGCTCAGGGGCTGTTACTGCTCAAAAAACTGGTGAAGCCGGTTTACTCTTTGTGGGCTGACTGCCTATCGTTATATTACGCTGTTAGAAACCTGTTATACGAAAGTTGTAGTCCTGTGTCATCACCCATGAGGGAATTCAAATTCCCTCCAGACCTTGTTTAAAGGGTCTATCAATGGATGGTACTGTAGATCAGGTCGGTTCCCTAGAATGGTTTCATTTATTGTAATTGTAAGAGGGCATTAATAGAGAGGCTAGTAAATTTCCAGCAACAAACAGTACCCATACTTCACTGAACAAAAAATTGCTGAACGATTGACGAAGTGGGAGCTTTGAAAAAATTCCATTACTCTATCAGAACGCCAGAAAGACCATCGAAGGAGCCAATCATTCATGCATGGATGCATCGCGAATCGATCGTATTCGTTTCAAGATCGGATCCACCTCGCACCTCCTCCCCGGACATCTCTTCCTATCAAATATATGAGTAAGTCAGGAGGAAGAATGAACTAGTAAGTATGAGCAGGTGGGTTTGGACCAGTTGACACGGGACCCGACAAAAATTTATATTTAACCGTGGGTGTTCACTAGCGGAACTCGGGCTAGGCTTTGCTTAAGTTCCCATTCCTCCGTTCGTGTAGAGTAAGCTGACTACTATGACTATGATGGCGTTCTTCAAGAACTCCTTTTGAGAAAACTGTGGATAACGCTCAGGTACAGGGTACTCAGGGTGGGGATATTTTCTGGAATGTTCCTATACTCACCGTTGAAAGGTTTGTCTGGTGCGAACTGATATGCCCTGGTGAAGAAATTCGTTTTCCAAAGCCGTCAAACCTCCACCTTCCCTACGCTTTCCTTGCGATATCCAGCTAGAGGAAATCGTTCGCTAAGGGAAGTCTGACAAACTTGCAAGTGGTGGCCGTCGGAACAGTAGACATGACCACATCTGGGTAGAATCGTTCCTAATTGTAAGTTAGCTGTCAGTTCATTCACATCAACAGCTCTCTCGGCACATTCTTTCCCGATTTATTTTCATTACAATTACGACTATGGCTTTAGTTGTGGCTCTATCTATCCTAGGAAGGGTTTCAGAACAGGATCGGGGTCTTTGGTGGCTGAAGTGTGGCGTGATCAGGCAAAGGAAAAGGTAGGGAGGCCAAGCCTTTATGTTATGTTACTGTATCAAACCTATTTTTCGTTTCCTAATCTCAACGTGTACCTTTGAGTTACTTCGATAATTCCTCTTGTATCCATCTTGAACAGAACTTGGCATCCAATTACTCTGATAAACCCTATCTCAGTGCGAAGTAGAAAGCCTCCATACCTTCGCTATTTGGCATTCACGTATAACACTATCGGGAAACTCATTACA